GCGTACTGCAAGAGGAAGCACAGCAACTGCAAGGCGCGGCGGCGTCCCCTGACAGTCCAGTGGCTGGCTTCTTCGATGGCCGCCGGCATCATGGACGGGAGCAGGGGCACGCAGAGGGCTCGCACCGCCGCCGCCGCCGCCGGTCTTGCTGGAGGCGTTTTTCGTGCGGGAGTGATGGGGCCGGTTGGGAGAGGAGGCACCGGCGGAGAGCAGTTTTGTTGTTGTTGTTGCTCTGTTGTTGCTGCCGACGGATTGTCGGATGATCGGGCCCAAGCCTGTGTGTCCGGCCGGCGGTTTGTTTGCCGACGGGGGGGAATGGGCGGATGCGTATGGAGGGGGGGTTAAGGGTACAACGAGCGACGTTCACGAAAAGACTGAAGTACTGGCAACAGCAGTATCGGCAGGCGAAACTGCCACAAAACAATAGAAGTACCCACACCACGACAGCATTCACACCACCACCACCACCACCACCACCAATAACAACAACACCAACACCAACACCAACCACAACACAACCACCACTACCACTACAACCACCACACCACCGCCAACAACAACAACAACAACAACAACAACAACAACAACAACAACAACAATCACAACAACCTACACCACAGCAGCTCCCGCCGCCCCGCTCGCTCGCTCGCTCGCTCGCTCGCTCCACCCTCACCTCCCCGAGCCCCTCGAGAGCCCTGCCCGCCCCCCCCCGGACCGGCTCCGACTCGTCCGCCAGCAGCTTCATCAGCAGCGACAGCAGCTCGGCCCGGTGGGGCTCGAGGTACTTCTTCTTCTGCTTCGTCCTCGCACACGCCCGCCGTCGCTCCTCCTCCGCCCCCGCCTCCGCCGCATCAGAGATACCGCCGCCGCCGGTGGTTGTGGTGGTGTTGCTGTTGTTGCCGCCGCTATTGTCTCCATCGTCCGTTGTGTCCATCGGCGCGACGGCGGAGTCGGCGAGATGGCCGCCGCCGGTGTCGCTGCCGCTACCGCCGCCGCCGCCGCCGTGAGGTGGAGGGAAGCCGGCCGCCACGAGGCTGGCGAGGACGGCCACGAGCTCGCGTCGCACCGCAACCGTACGGTCGTACAGCTTAGCCGTTTTGCCGTGTACAGCAAGATATGTTCGTGTGCCACACAGAGAGAGACAGAGGTTTGCAACACGGAGGGGATGGGGGGCGGGGGGGGGGTGATGGTGACGTTTTCGAAGGTGGACACGAGAGAGCGAGGTGTTGGTAGAAAAGTGCCGAGCAATGATGAGCACAACCCACACAACAGAAATCGCGGTCAAAAGACAGCACGCACACGTGTATCAAAAGGCAACACACATGTGTATCAAAACAGCAGTGAATGCCACATTTCATCAAGGGAACACGAATGAAATGAAAAAAATAACAAAAGATGAACATTGCACATCGTCATGTCAAGGAAAACAACGTTAACACCAGGTCCTCGACTTCGGAAGGTTACCTCGTCTACATGCAGTCTACAGCAGTACTGGTATACAGTAGGTTGAAGCAAATAACTATAGGGTTATATAAAAAAATAACACGCACCCAACCTGCAGTAGAGACGGGCGTTTGTTCATCGGTCAGCCGGTTTGCGCGGTCGATAAATAACACACACACAACACACTTTTGGAAAACGAAAAATACAACGAACGGCCTGAACCAAAAAAACATGACGTAGGCCCCCAATCTCGCCGCCCCAACCTGTCGCCTCCTCACCAGATTCCTCAGCTGCGGTAGGATAAGCTCCCTCAGGGGCTTGTCCAGGTCGTCGGAGCCACACAGCAGCAGCGCTCCCAGGGCCTGTCCCACCGAAAAAAAAACGAAATGAAGAAAAAAAACGAGATAACGAACTGCTGTCGGGTTTTTGAGCGAGGGAGAGAGGAGAGGCCCCAAAGAGACGAGCAGAGGAGAGGATTCAATGCGGTCGAGATGAGACGAGAACACAAGAGGATTCAATGCGCTATTAATAGAGTTTAGACGAGAAGAGATAATGATTCAATGCGGTCAAGTTGAGACGAAAAGAGAAGAGGTTTCAATGCGGTCGAACTTAGACGAGAAGAGAAGAGGATTCAATGCGGCCGAACTTTTAGACGAGAAGAGAAGAGGATTCAATGCGGTCAAGTTGAGACGAGAAGATAAGAGGATTCAATGCGATCAAGTTGAGAGGAAAGACAGGAGGATCACGTTGCGCTCAAGTTCAGGGGGGAGAGAGGAGAGGCTCCAACGAGAAAGAAGCAAGAGAGGGATGAGACAGATCTCTTCGTCGACTCAATCATCAAATCAGCTTGGGCGCGAAGCAATGCAAAACAGGTGCCTGTCACTGCTTTAACAGCGATATGAAAAAACGAGGGTGCATCTTTTGTGACAGCTGGAGGATCGGTGCATTCACACGAGCCCTTGTGTCTATTATTGGAATAGAAAGAGGGAGACAAGGAAAAAACGAAAACACACTCTAAAACACGCGAAAAAGAAAAAAATCCTTTTCACATTGAATGCGTCGTTTCCTGTCCAAACATGGACCCGTTGTTGTCACACCAAGCAGCGTGTCGAGAAAAGGGAACAGGCGAGTGTGTCCTTGCCTGCCTGCCTGCTCCCTCTCCTTTTTTTTTGCTACCGTTGAGACTCTCATCTAGTTTCTCATTTTCGCGCGGTCTGGCACGAAAGCACTTCGTACCGCTTTATTTGGAGGCTGGGGGGGGGGGGGGGGGGCGTCTAGACCGCTGTACCACCTGCACACAGAGGAGACTGATTCTTGAAGGGCGAAGTCGTGGGTGGAAGTGAGTCTAAACGAATATTACTAAAAAAATACCTGCATGAGTTGCCGTACACCCATACTGTAGGCATACATATGTCGCATCGTTTTTTGCGTTCTTTAATTCTCAGTTTCGTACATCGTCCCAGCCACACATACACGTGCATTCAGGGATGATGTGTTCGTTGATTTGAGGGCTGGCTGCAGTACGAGTAATAGCACTTCGAAGTGATTATGTACACCGTACACAAAAAAAGAAAAAAATTGGTCGTTCATTACGCAAAAACCACCTCCCACCATTGAGCGTGTAGTGCATACTACCATTTTCCAGACACGAATAGTCATCTCAGCGGCAGTAGCAGCAGCGCCAGCAGTACTACTGCTATATGATATGCATACATACCTAGAGCAGCACCTTTTACAGGTTTCAATCGGGTCACCATTGATGATAAAAACAATCTAAATCGGGATGTTTCCGCATGCAATAGAAGATCATGTCGGGGGTTTAGCTCAGGGGTTAGAGTGTTCGCTTTGCATGCGAAATGTCGGGGGTTCAAATCCCCCATCCTCCACTTTTTTTTTCATCGTGGTGTGTAGGGGAACTTTGGGCACACAGAGCCATGCAACGTCATCATGTAAGCATGATGTACGAAGGAGGTACATGGAGGTCTAACCCAGGGGATGATGCTCCCACAGCCCCCCCTTTACTCTAAAAACCAGACATTATTTCTAGAGTTCAAATCCCCCCCCAACCCCTCCCAGTTTTTTTTTTCAGGAACGTACTGCTGTACTGTACGTCGGCAGCGACACACAAACCTGTCCATTTTTAGTTTCAAGTATGCTTTCAGAAAGATACAGCTGTGCGGCAGGACGTGTAGCAAAATTCGCGCCGGACTGAATGTGATGCAGGTGGCAGGAAACCGCAATCACCATTATTTTTTCTTCCACTGCACCCTCTCCTCGATGGCGTATTCCCGATTTTTTTTTTTTTTACGTGCGGATGAAGAGAGTCTGACCGTCGAGAACCTGGCATGGATGACATTCTCCCGCACCGTCAGTACATAGTCATGTGGGGAATACAGTGTCTTGATACTTTGCGTTGTTTGCATGGAATCTGCCGCTGTCACAGGTGCATGATCTCGAGCCCTTGTAGATACAATTATGTGTGGGGTTGCATAGAAATGGCGTGGCCGGTGCAAAACGCGGGCGGTTGATGCACCCCGGTCGAGGAGGGTGGACAAGGGTAGAATCATGCGAGTTTTAAGGTCTGAATTGGTGATTTTTTTTAGACTTTTTTGCGTTACTTTATTTTTTGCTTGACCTCGCGTGTCGGGTGGGAGCGAAGGGCTCTGTACATCGTCCCCGTTTCTATAACGATCTCCTTTGTCGCCTGCTGCGAAGGCTGACTGCTGTGCGGGGACTTGATTTCTCATTTTCTCGTTCCTTATACCGCGTGTGCATTGTTGTGTTGTGTTCCTGGGCCCTTCAATTAGTCTTTGATTTTTCATACAATTGGCATCCAATTTGGGTGGATAAGTCTGTGATCACGGAAGGAGTCCGCGTCAGTTGGAAGGTACTTGAGCAGAGATCGAAAGGGATACTAATGTGGAGGCAACAACAACACAACAATAAGGCAGGATCCCGGCAATGGTAGTGCCACCAGCCCCTCTCTCCCACATCCTTCTTCCGCAAAAGCTGTGTAATTCTGTTTTCAACCTCCACTTGACGCTCTGTTTTTTGTGGTGTCTCGCTTGATCCGGCTCAATAGAAAGCAGGACAAAAGAGCTGTCAAGACACCTACAGTGCGCACGCACCTGAAGAGTCATCTGTCTTGTCTTGGAATGCTGATGCCCTAGGTTCAAGATCAGCGGGCGCAGAACCTGTGCCATCGCCGCCCGCCGGGGCAGGGGGTGGGCCATTAGAGGACAAGAAGCAAGGAAGAAAAAAGGACACCAGCACAAGACAGAGAAACATCACGTCGATCGCCCCCCCCCGTTGCCTTTTCATCCATCTCTCTCTTTGTGTCCATGCGCAGTGACTGTTGGTGTGCGCCTTCTAAAAAAAAAAGAAAAAAACGGACGACGTCTTACCATGGCTTCCTATCTGACGGCCTGTGTTGGTGCTGACACAAGAACGACACCTACGAAAGGTTTGCTGTGAACGAAATGTGTCACCTTGTGGCAAAGGAGACTGGCAAAGAGGTTGATCGTGCACGACGCAGGCAAGCGAGGCACAGGCGCAGCACTGAACGTATAACACGGAAATTATTACCCTACAGAGGTTGGAAAATACGGGGTGTCGATAAAACTTCGCTCGAAAGAAAAAGTATAGCACGAGACAGGCCCAGACTAACATTGCTTCAAAATTTACGGCGCACACGTCCATCCTTTTTGTCGAATTCCAAACCTTCTCAAAAGGGATATGCACAAGACTACTTGTACTTGTACGTGGTGCCATGAACGCACGCGAGACATTCATACCAATTAAATCAATCCACACCTTGCCTAGGCGAGACCGGAGCCCTTCCGGGCACACATCGGCCAGCCGCAACAACAGAGAGCAGCACTCCCGCTTCGCCTCGGGAAACGGGTCCGTCAGAGCCGCCGAGAGCACCCGACACGCCTCCCCGGCAATCTGCGGATCCCCCCCCCCCGGTATTCATGTGTCGACACCCCCCCCCCGCGCGCGCGACAGAGACGGTAAGACGTATTTACCACGCCGGGTCGAGAGAGCCAAACCACACGCGGACAAGAGGAGCGGACGAAGAGACGGGGGGAAAAACAAGGCGCTGCGTTTGAGCCTGGCAATCGTTGCAAATGAAGAAGGTTGCAGAATGCTTTTTTTTTCAAAGAAGGGTCCAACAATACCACAGGCGCAATGCAGACACCACTCTACTGCCGTTGCGGTTGAAGGAGCCTGCCTGCCTCGTAGAGAGAAAAGCTGGGGCAGATACAACAGTCAGCCAGTCGGTCCTCTCTGATCGGACGCAAGCCGCCACCTACCGACTGCTGAGCGGCTTTCCATTTTATGGGAAACATGAAAGAACAAGCCAAAACAAAAAACTGCGTTGAAACACAACCTTGCGCGCATGGCTTCGCTAGGACGCAGATCGTGTCGACGCAAAATGTACACAGCATATGTAGACACTTCGCGCAGAAAACTCGGTTCAAACACACAGACCGACCCTAAATTACCTCACAACCGAATATTTCGGCGCTCTTCCCTCTCAGGACCGCGCCGCACAGTCTGAGCAAGAGAGCCCTCACTTCCTCCGCGGGCTCGACCAGTGGGACGCTCCCTATCCGCACTTCAGCCATGGAGAACACCTGCACCGGCAGCAGCACCAGCAGCAGCACCAGCAGCAGAAGCACCACCACCACCATCACCACCACCAACAACAACGACCACCACAGCAGTAGCAGCACCCAGCAACAGCAGCAGCACCACCACCAGAAGCAACAGCAGCACCAGAAGCAGAAGCAGAAGCAACAGCAGCAGCAACCACCAGCACCACCAGTACCACCAGCACCGCCAGCACCGCCAGCACCAGAGAAACGAGGAGAAAACGGGACGGAGCAGAGCAAACGAAAGAAAAACACAGACACAAGGAAGACAAAAAGGGCGATGGGGCGGCACGCAGCAGCAGCGCGCGTCACGCTTGTGTTGTTACTTCCTTGGAGGAAGGCAAGGAAAGAAAAAATGCATGCGTTTTGAGCAGCTTTGCTAAGTGTCCGTCCTGGCATATGTGGCAGGACCAAAAGGTCACTCGGAAAGCGCGGAGCTCTCAGCCCCACAAGGTTGACTGCAAGCAACGCACCAACGCACAAAAATCCATCTGCGTGAGGGGTAACAAGAGCAATAGAGCACCTGTCCGCCACCTTAGCAGCAGCAGCAACAACGGCGAGCGAATCCAACGATGACAACACAAACACAGCAGCAGAAAACAGCGACAACAACAACAACAACCACCACAGACGTACGAGGCACCAAGAGGACGAGAATTCCGAGGGGGAGAAAGGGAGGCGCACCTGCTTAGCCAAAGCCGTCGTGTCCGGCAGTGCATCGCCGCCGCCCACGGAATCCACAAACTCCGCCAACAGCCCTGAGGAAACACGCCACCAACAGCACCAGAAATCAGCACATCGCGGCCATGCCCACACCCCTTCTGCTATAAAATCGTACGATCAAGCATCTCCCTTTCCGCCACCTCCTTTGATACAGTATTTCGACCACCGTCACCACAGCCGCCGGCATTTGGGCCATCAAAAACTGTTTCGACAAGCGACTCTCGTTCATCGCCGCTCGACCTCCCTTTTTCCAACCCCACTCCCTCCCACCGCACCCAGGATGCACACAACGACAGTCCCTCGTCTCCACCGCCCTCCCGCCGCACTGGCTCCATCCTCGAGTCAATGGTCCAACAACTTAGGGATGCAAACATGAATACGAGGTCCATCGTCTAACGACTACGGCATGCACGACCAATGAGTACCCTTCCCCCCCCCCCAGCCCCCGGCTTGCTCCGTCCCGGCTTTGCAGGGATGCGAGGTCAAACTGGTCTAATGACCACGGCATGCACGGCTATGAGTACCCCCCCTTCCCCCGTCGCTACTGCCACCACGGCCATGCTCATTTCCGCCTCATTCGCGACGCACCTCCCGCCATCTCTCTGCACTTCTCGACGGGATCGGCCATCATCCCCACCAGTCGCTCGGAGAGGTATCTGGAGAGAAACCCCCGCAGCACCGCCTCCGGCACCTGCAGCCGTTTCGTTAATGTGGGGGGTGGGGGGTGGGAGGGTGCGTGGTTGGGATCGTACTGCTTGGGTGTTTGTGGATTGCTTGCTTCGCCTTGAGGCGTCTGGCTGAGCGGCTAACACACCGCTTACGAGAAGAAGAAGCAAATCACCGACGCTCTTTTTTTCCTGGTAGCTTTACCTCCCGACGCGGGAGTGCTCTGGGCGCCATGCAGTGGGCTAGGGGGGGGGTAGTGGGGGGGAATTCGATGTATTGTACAGGGCTCGTCGGTTGAGGTACATGGCGTTGTTCTTGCATGTTCTCGATGATGGCCCGAGACATTGATCACCCTCGTCTTTGTGCTACTGAAAGCAAGTAAACGAGTCACATGGACGCGTTAACAACGGCAGCCGGAAAGTGCTTTCGGCATCTCCACACACAAACAGAGACATCATTCGCAACCGTCGTAGACGTAGACGTAGTACCTCGCCGCTGTGGAGACCATCGACAGCAGCAAGAAGATACTGATCACCGTACGAGCGCGTTAGCTCTTGGTGTGCAAAGACTGGTGTGCTTAAAAAAAGTTGTCCAACGGTCTTGTTCCAACGGTCTTTTTACCTTCGCCTCGCGGAAAAGCGCCTTCTGGAGCTTGGTCAGGGCACGCTTCCGAGTCGACCGGTCAGGGTCGGAGAGGCAGTTCAGGTCCCGCTGCAGGCGCTGCCGCAGGTGTGACAGGCTAGCCTCGTCGGACAGGGAGAGCCCGTCCATCGGCGCCGCAGACATCGGCCGCGCGAGCTCGGCTTTTTTGTCGTTGTTGGTCGTCGGGATCGTCCCTGCCGCGTTGTAGTTCGAGGGTTAGCTAGAGCGTGTGTGTGTACCTGGTGATGGCTGGTGCTTCCCTCCAGGGTTGTGTATCGTGTCAATGCAACACGCATGTTGGGGGTGTCCTTACTACTAGCAGCAACCGCTGACCAAGACCAAGAAACGTCGGTCTTCAAAGCGGGAGAAACAAACTTAAACACACTTTTTCTAGTAAACGTGTGTGTGTGCGTGTTCATGTACCATCAATTCTGGGCGTCATTCTATACCTTTTGGTAGATTTTTTTGCTTGACGCACAGCAGATGTACTAATACTACAGCAGTATCTGGGGTCACGAGCACGCAGGAGGAAAGTTGGACACGATTATTTTTTTCTCCACATTTCGTTTCCTCTTACGATGCTCGCCTTCAATGTGTTAACGCGAGAAGAGTCCAACGGCCTCTTGGCCCCTTTGCTGTGTGTACTCACGACTAACGCGCCCTCCAATCCAAATTTGTGGAGGGAGTAGATGGCGAACTGCCGTGCAACATGTAGACTACAGCTTGGCGGGCTATGTGTAGCGTCTTGTTGGTTGTATTGAGTCTATAGTACAGCCCAATAGTGTAGTGACGTGCTATGTACATCGAGAGCTTCAGCACACACCAACACGCACACTCCCTGAACGTAGCGAATTGCGAGCGAGAGGCGACACAGGCACCAACACTTCAGACTTGCTCGAGCATCCTGTGTGCTTTACGTGTGCATGTGTTGGACGGGTGAAACGGTTGCTGGTTTGGTACTGCTGTGTAACATCCGATACAATAAATGCGGACGTAAAAGAGATGCAGTAAACATCACCATGCCATACAATAGCAGTGTCACCACAACATACTTGCATACAAGAGTTCTTCAAAACGTCGTGTTAGGTGTGGTATACACAAGACTTTCAGGCGGCCTCCGGAGGTGCGGCACAAATCTACTGCCTGCAGTGAGATGTAGCAGCAGTCCTTGCAGCAGTCCATGCAGGCTACAAGCAGTCCAGCGAGTAGTAGTAATAGTGGGACACAGAGCAGTCGAAAGATACACGAGTCATTGGGGGAAAAAAACGCTAAACCTAAAATAGCGGGAGAGGCGTAAACAGCATACATAGTCACGGCTGCAAAAGGACGCAACACGCGGATCGATCATTTCTGGACAAGGATCTCGACGCGGACGGTGCCTCTTTTCTGTCTTGGAGAGTTGTTACGGGTGCTGCTGTGGAAAACACTGAGAGGTAGACGTGTGGGAGGGATCGTTCGTACCTCAGGTGCTCGTCAGATCGCAGAGAGAATAGCTGCACACGGTATAGCACCGCCAACCAGCCAGAGGACTGCTACCTCGCCTCCTCGGCCAACTGCTGCAGGTGTCTGCTGCTGGTGCAGCTGCGCAGCCCAAGCGACGAAGGGGGCACGCGGAGGAAAAGGTGGGGAGGGTATCCAGGAATATATTTATTTATTTTCAGATCTCCGTGACGGAGATCCTCCCGCCGTCCTCTCCCCCGCTCTCTCTCTCTCACACAGCACTGCTGCTCACAAACCTGCCCAGAGAGAGCCCAATCAATCACCACCGTTGCCACCACGCCATCGAGATACGCGCGACACACACCATCGAGACTCCGCCTGGGATCTTCCCTTGTACCATGAGTGGTATGTTGGAGAGCTCGAGCGACGACGGTTGCATGTCGGATCACTCGTTCGACTTCGTCGAGGTTGAAGGCGGCACGAGCTACAGCAGCGACGGAGACGCCACGGTGACCAGCAGCCTGGCGCCTCCCAAGGGCTGGAGCACGCTCAGCCTGTCCGACGCCGAGGCCGTCAAGACGGGCCCAGCCGCCGTGACGACAACCACCACCACCACGGGCGCTGCCGGTGGCCGACGCGAGTTTATTTCCACTCCCATCGCTGCTGCCTCTTTCTGTCAAACTGCTGCCGCCGTGACCAAAAGTTCAACAAGATTTGAACCTTCGTCCCTGGCCGCCTTCAGCTGCCGCGCCTGCGGCAACCTCCTCCGGGACTGCGTGGAGTGCCCCACGTGCCACAGCCTGTTCTGCAGGGAACACCTCGTCGTCGACAAGCAGAATGGGACGAGCCCTTGCCCGTGCGAGCCGTGCTCCCTTGCTCCCATCGCTACCACCCTCTCCGCTGCTTCCACGTCGTCTCCTGCTGCCGCCGCCCGAGCCCATCACCACCCTCGCGAGGCCTTCCTGCCCAACATCCCGTTGCAGCGCATCGCGGACGCCGTGCCCTCCCGGTGCGACGGCTGCGGGATCTCCCTCTCCTGGGGGGAGCTCGGTCGCCACGCGTGCGACCAGCAGCTGGTGCCGTGCGGGCGCAGGCAGCACGGCTGCTCCTGGTTCGGCAAGCGTCACGAACGCGAAGCCCACGAGGCCTCTTCAACTTGCCCCGGGCGCCTCGCGCTCGCGCAGGCCGAGGCGCTGGAGGCCCGCTCGGAGGCGGCCCGCCTCCGCGCCGCCGGGGAGGAGGCGGAGCGCCGCGCGTCCTCCGCGGAGATGCGCGCGTCGGAGCTCGAGGCCCGCCTCGCCGCGGCGGAGAGGTGCCTGCAGGAGAGGGACCAGGAGGCCGCGGCGCTTCGGGGCAAGATCACGACGATGACCGCCGCCGCCGCCGTGACGGCCGAGGAGAACGGCAAGAAGCAGGAGAGGCTGCAGCAGCAGCTGAAGCAGCAGGCGGCGGCGGCGGCGGCGGCCGTGGCCCAGGATGCGAGAAGAGCGGGAAAGCACCAGCAACAGCAGGCGGCAGCGACACGCACTCCGCAGCCGCCGCCGCAGCAGCAGCAGCAGCCGCCGAACGCCATGCCGTTCGCGGCGATATTGAACAGAGCTGGGTTCTCTCCTCAGACCGCTACTACTACCGCTGCTGCCGCCGCCGCGCCAGTCAGGCTCCCGCTGGCGGTGCCGGACAGGAAGAAGTCGGGGGCGGGTAGTAGAGCGGCGGCCATAGCAACGACGCAGACCGTCGTCCCCAGCACCGCCAGCCGCGCTAGCGGCCGTGGCACCGCCAAGGGAACGCTGTCCGCGGCGGTTCAGATGGCCAGGGCGGGAGGGTCGCCGCCGCGCGCCAGCGCCGGGGTCATGATGGACACGGCGAGCCAGGCGCCCGTGCCGGCCGTGGAGGCCTGCCTGAAACCCTACCTGGAAAGGCCGAGCTCGCTGCTGGAGAAGAAGGTGGTGGTGTTCTGGCCAAGGTGAGAGAAAAGACAACAGGTACTGTAGCTTTTTGGTCGCGGGAAAAACCAAGCGACGCGTGTTGATGTTCACAGCGTTTTTTTCCAGGTATGATGTATGCATACGTCGCGTTACGTACTTGTAGGATAGGAGAAATCATGTGTGCGTGTATGCGCGTCATTGGCTGAACATGCGCAAGCATGTGCCTGTCTCTGTAAAGTCTAGAGCGAGTCCGTCGCCGGTGGAAAATAACCCTCGGTGGTAAATCTGTAGTGTGGCGGAAGGGGGCTTGTGTTACGGTCAACAGAGGTGTGGGTTCGGCGGTGGTCCCCCGCCCTCCAAACTCCAAACACGTGTGCCGATCGATCACACATTTTTTTTTAACCCTGAAAAGAGCCGTTTTCTCTGTTCCCAATCACGAAGTACAGGTTTTTATCTCGAACGAGTAGGCTTTCTCTGTTTGTACAATATGTTTGTATTGGTCTTTCCTTCTTGTAATGCATATGCACAGATGCGACATACAAGTAGAGTGAATTCACCCGCGTGGGTGTTTACTTCGATTTCCACCGCAATCACAATAACCCCCCCTTCTTCCCAGCCACGACAGCAGCGAAGTACCACGCTCCTCCTGTACAAGTTCTACTGCTGTACCTCTGCTGTTGCTGCTGTCCTTAAGGGGTAGTATACCACCGAGTCATTTTCACGAACGGAGCAGGCAGGGGGCGTATCCGCCTCTTTCGCTTATTTTATTTGTAACTGCTGTTTATAGTGTCTCCGGAACGTCGGAACGTCTTTGGCGTTCGATGACCGTTGGGTCCGTTCAACGGACACACGCGCCCGGCACGTGGACGAGTCTTGGTTCTCCGGGGACTTGCGAAAATACAAGGAATATAGTTTTGATTTTTTTTTTTCTTAATATGACACAACGAAACCATCTCTATCATAGAAAAGAGTCTGAGATAGCAATGGATTCATAGAAAAGAGTCTGAGACAGATTAGCATTAAAAAAAAAGATTGTTCTATTTCCACGAACAAGCGTCCAGGATATATGCAGATAACCTACTAGAAAGACGTACTTTCGAAGCAGCAAATAAACGTAACAGCGTTAGCGGACACACGACGACTCGTTGGTGGTGCTACGTAATATTAGTTGTTGTTCATGATTGGTGGAAAATATGCGCCATTATTTTCCAAAGAACGCAAAATGCAACGATGCGCCCCCCTCTGCTTACACTTGCGACGACCCGACTGCTGCGATGGGCAAAATTTTCAACAGAAATAAAATGTGTAGACTACATCGCACACATCATCATTCAATATGCGTGCTGATGATCGTTCGTGAAACGCACCCTTTTGGTGTTTTGGAAATATGGCATTCATACGGTTGTAAGCTTCATGCCCGTTCCGTTGGCCACTTGCAGTGTTTCGGGGGTCGGGTGTCGTAAATGTTGGAGAGATGGTACCCCCGTGTTGGCGTTTGTCAATAGCGTACTTGTCCACAACCAGGGGGGTATATAGCAGGAGGTCCAACCCCCCCCTCCTATGTGACCCCGGTTGGGTCGTCTAGCTAGTACAAGTGGAGGATAGGGCCAGAGGGGCAGACGACAGAGTCCAATGATGGGAGAAAAAATAAAGGAATAAAAGAATAAAATAAAAATACCACTCCCAAAGAGGTAGTTTTGGAAACATCTCGTCGAGGGCTTTCCTGAGAGTTATCGGTTGGTGTTCGCACCCTCCTAGTTGCGGAGAAATACGCTACTAGAAAACGCTTTACACTCGGAGGGCCGTCTCTCCGACTCTTAAGGTGTCTTTTCGTTGCGTGGCTCGTGTGTACCTATACCTACCTCAATCGGGTTAGCCTGTTAGCACGGAAGTTCTCCCTCCGCTTGCCCTGAAGGAGTGTGAAAGAAAGGAGGACCTTTCAAGCACCCCTTGGAAAATAGATCAGATTTTTTGAAAAGCATACAAGTTCTAAACCTTCCCAGCGAAAAATACAGAGGGAGAGCACACGGCGGCTAACAAACTGTCTTGTTGAGCCTGTTGCCCACAGAGGAGATATCGCTTAATGCTGCTCGGGAAATCGTAGAAATACAGGTAGCTTCGGCCGACGCTATGAATTCGTTGCTTATCTATCTCAAGACTCTTTTCTTAGATGGAGATGGTTTCGTTGTGTCATACTAAAAAAAATAACATAGGAACACAAGTTTATGTTTACCCACAACTGGCACATTTTGCTCTGCTCATGTAACTGGATATTTTGTGATGTGTCGTGGGGTCATCACGCCACCCGGGCTTGTGCCCTTCTCAAAAATTTCCGCGGGGTTCCTCATACACACCCCACATACATACCTAGACCTAGCGTCACACCTTATCTTGCCACCCACCACCACCACCACCACCACCACGTCATTACCGCCCCTGCTTGTCCTTTTCCGCGATGAAATTTCCCGCAGTTTCTTTCTTTCTCGCCAATGTACGATGCAGTCCCGCGCCACAAACCCCAGATTTCCTTCGTTTAACCTTACACGTGTAAGAGTCCAGGATATATTGGCATTATGAGAGACAACAGCAGCAGCAGCAGCAAGCAGTCACAACGACAACAACCAACCAACGGCGATGCTGATTTTTGTACGCACGCTACAGCAAGAGGTGTCGCGTTGTTTTGCGCTCTGTGAGGTCGCCGTCGATACTCGATTCCCACACACACACAAAGACACGACTGCTGTTTGCGCGTTCATGGGTGCACCCCCTACCCCCCGTCCTCGCCTCTCGTTTGGTTGGACGTGCACGAAACTGACCTCCGCGCCCCACGCCTCCCCTCCCCCGTTCGAACAGGCAAGGGAGGTGGTACACCGGGCGCCCGACCGTGTACAAGGAGGCCACGAGGGAGCACCGCGTGGAGTACGACGACGGCGACGTGCGGGACCACGTCCTGGCGCATCGCTCGTGGGGCCTCATTGGCTAGAATGTTTGTCGTGCCTCTCGCTCTCGGGCCTCATTGGCTAGAATGTTGGGTCGTGCCTCTCGCTCGTCGTCCTGAGCAGGGGGCGTAAACCCCGCCAACATCCCGACGTCACATCAAAAGGCAAGGTAACAGCGTCATCATACGTTCATAGCAGCAGCATGGCTGCCGTTTTGAGTTGTCGCAAAGACGGGTAGCACCGGAAATTCGGAGCGGCGGCATGCGACG